TCAAGAGTTCTGCTTTGGACATGTCAAGTCCATGGAGAGATTCTGAAGGCAGTGTGATGTTGTTTGCTTTGCTTTGCTTGATTTTGGCCAGCAGGCGTGTATCTGTGTTTTTCACCAGTAGCACCTCTTGGTGGCCCAGACATAGCTGTGAATTGATCCATGATTGGAATTGTGTTGACAGGGGGCGAGACGGTTAAGGATATTCTAAAGAGACCAAGTTAAATGATAGACCAAATGCAAAGCCTCACTTCCAGGAGCTGTTTTGTCCAAACTGATCTCAAGTGACAGAAACCTAACCCAAATGAAATTAAGCAAAAGAAAGGGAGCCAATGGCTTAAGTCCCTAGAAAGCACACCCAAGTAGCATACACGTGAGAAGAAAAATCTGCAAGGACCAGGCGTGGTGGCTTACTCCTGTAACCTCAGCACTTTGGAAAGCAGAGATGAGAGGATCGCCTGAGAACAGGGGTTCGAGGCCAGCCTGGGCAACTTGGTGAGATCTCATCTCTGTAAATCAAAAAACTAGCCGGGGATGGTGGCATGCACCTGTAGTTCCAGCTATTTGGAAGACTGAGGAGAAAGGCTCGCCTAAACCCAGCAGGTCGAGTCTGCGGTGGCCGTGAGCATGCTACTGTACTCCAGCTTGGGCGACAGAGTGAGACTCTGACTAAAAAAAAAAAAAAGAAAAAGAAAAGAGAGCTGTAAGACATAAAGTGACACGTGTAAGAACTGGGGATGGAGAGATGACCATGCGACCCCATGTGCCCCACATATGGGAGGAGGATGGTAGCAAATTTAAAACAAAGAGGAGAGGTCAGATTTACAGTGAAATGGAGAAGGAACACCCAATCCAACATATCAAAAGTAAGCAAACACTGAGTTTGCCGAAATGAAATATGCCCAACACTTTGCATTCCCTGAGAGAGATTCAGGTTTTGAAGATTCTTAAAAAATCAGTGTTAGCCAGGCTCAGTGGCTCAGCCTGTAATCCTGCGCCTTTGGGAGGCTGAGGTGAGTGAATTGCCTGAGCCCGCGGGTTCGAGACTCGCCTGGGCAGCGAGACCTCATCTCTACAATAAATCAAAAAATCAGCCGGGCGTGGTAGCGCATGCCTGTAATTCCGGCTACTTGGAAGGCTGAGGCGGAAGGATCCCCGGAGCCCAGCAGGTCGAGGCTGCGGTGGCTGGGAGCGGCCACTGCACTCCAGTCTGGGCGACGGAATGAGACTCCAACTTAAAAAAAAAAAAAAATCAGTGTTAATCACCACTGGAATCAAGGGAAGGGAGAGGACTTTTGTATCCATCAATCTCCAGTTAAACAGTATGAGACAGTGCTGTGACCCACCCCTTCCTAATACTAAATGCACATAGCACAAGGCTAGGGGTCCTGGTCCTACCTTAGTAGGGCAACAACTCTACCTGTGTGTTGATGGTCTGATCACCCTACACAAATCAAGAGCCTCAACAAACAGCCAGTCATTATAAAAAGAAAACACACACACACAGCCTCTGTAACTCTGCCATTAAGTCTGGCAGACCATTAATTAGGCTCGTCTCAAGAACTGAGCCAGCAGCCCACCTCACCCTGCACCTCTGAGTTACCCCTGAGATCATCCCAACAGGCCCAAGCTAGTGCAGCGTGACTCAAGCCAGAGGCGCTCACTCCTGCATGTGTGTGTGAGAGGAGCAAACCCTCCAGAAAGCTCCCACGAAGTAGGAGGTAACATACCACTCATCTGTCACATTGCAGCAAAAGCGGGAAAAAAACACCAGTCGCATACTCCAGGCCCTTGGAGGGAACATGTCTGAGGCTTGCACAAAGCCACACCTTGGTCATGGAGCTCCTGATGCCCATGGCATAAGAAACCATGCAGCCAGTTCTACATAGAATCCAGTGCACAAAAGAACTTTCCAGTGAACTTGTACCAGATAACGGGAATTTTATAGCGACCACCAGCATGAGTGCTGGCCAGAGCATGCCACGTCTGCTGCCCCGATAAGGCCTTTTGGGCTTCAGTCAATGCCAAGTCTGCTTTAGAAACTCGGTCACAGCATGGAATGCATCCTGTGTCCCTCCTATATCTGGGCTCGCCTCATTTCCAAATGGCTCCTACTGTTCCTTGTTCAACTGCCTCGAATCTGGTTTCTGGAGCCATGAATCACAAACAGTACCTATACCGAGCATTGATGTGGCAGCAGCATACTGGAGAGCTAGCTGCATTGGCAGAGGCTGCCAGGCTACCTCTCCCATACCTGCCCTCCACCTTTGTGCCCCAAGGTTCCCCTTTGGCTCCCTCCCAGGGTTGCTACTTTCCCAGAGGTCATGTCCTCTCCAAGTCCTTCTGAGAGCCTCCGTTTCCTCTGCTGTGGAACAATCCCTGTCCCCCTCACGTGGCTGCAGATGCAGAGGGGATGAGGGGACACAGGCAATGTGTCTGGTGAACGGTGACATCTTTTTTGAACTTCAGGCCAATCCTTATCACCGGGCGGCAAGTGAGACAAAAGTAGACCTCTCCCCTCTTTATCTGCTCTCAAGTGCGTCATCTCTGCTCAAGGAGGAAATTAGCTGGGCCAACACAACCATGTTTTGGGATGGGAGGGTGGGGGAGGGCGTCCTTGGACACTTTAAACTTTCTTCCCTGAAAAACTTGATGTGTTTTTACCAGCATGTATACTCGTGCCACCACCCAGCTCAGGATGTGGAACATATCTATAACCCTGGAAAGTTTCCCCATACCCCCTCCCTCCAAGTCACTACCCCATCTCCTCATTTCTAACACTGTAGATTCGTTCTGCAAGTTCTTGAACTTAATATTTTTTAAAAATCATAGTGTATAGCCTTGGGCCTGGCTTCTTTCACTCAACATAATGTTTTTGAGACTAATCTGTGTTGTTGCAAACAGCCATTCATTTTCTCCTATTGCTGTGCAGTATCCCATTGTGTGAGTGACTACAATTTATCCATGCTATTGTTGATGGACACCTGGGTTGTTTCCAGTTTTTAGCTATCAGGAACTGTTGCTGTGAACATTTTAGTATGTATTATTGGTGAGCATCTGGGTGTATACCCAGGAGTGGGAACGCTGGCATGCACAAGGCCAGCTTCAGTTCTATCTGCCACCACCTCCCAATGTCTGTGCCCATGTCCACTCCCTTCAGCAACAGCCTCAGGCATTTCTGGTGGTCTCTCCTTTTCATCCCACACCATGGAGTCAGACGGACCTGGTTCATGTCTCAGCATCACCATCCACCTGAGTGACCTTGGGCAAGCTCCTTTTCAAGGTTTCACTTCCCCATGGAGACAAATCACCCTCCCCTGCCTGAGCTGGCATCTCCATCAACTCAATGTCACATCCACATGACCTAGTGCCAGGCAATCGGCACAAAGTGGATGTTCCCTCCCTCCCTCTTACCCATACCTGAAGCTCCCCAATGTGCAGCCACCAAATAAACATTTCCAGCCCTTTCACCCTGATTGAGTCCTTTGAGAAGCTATTACTTTCTTCCCCTGAGTCCTTTGAGTCCCCTGAGAAGCTATTACTTTCTTCCCCCATACTTACAGGATGAGGTTGTTTTTTGGTCCTTCCCCTGCACTTGGTGGGGAAATACAAACTGGAGAGGGTCAGAAGTGGACTCTAACTGATGGAAAGTAGTAAGTAGAAGAAGGTGGCTTTCTGTAAAGTGACTCTGGGCAAGGGAGGGAGACACATTTTGACCAAAATAAGGTCCAAATTGACATTGTCTAAGCTCCATTGCGGAAAGATGTCCAAGATATATTGAAATAGGCAAAATGCAGGACAGGATGAATACTCTGGCACTTTTGTATAAAAAGGAGGGAGAATGTATCTTCCTTTTGACATAATCTAGGAATCAGTTCACATGGGGCTATGGGAGGGGCAGCAGTGATTGGGGACATTTTGAAAGGGGACATTTCAATATTTCCTTATATAGCTTTGGGGCTTAAACCACACGGTCAGATCCTCTATTCAAAACAATTTTAACATATATATACTGATAAGTTTTTCAGTTACACCAGAAGATGGGTATGAATCCTTGATATGATGCCATGAAGAATTCTAGTGGATCAACCCTGGCAAAGCAAATGCCTGTGTGGTATATGTATATAGGTGTATGTGTATGGGGTTGCATTTAAGTGGATGTAGGTATGCACGTGTGTGACTGTGTCTGCATGCTGAATACTTCCAGCATCACCTGGGGGAGGATGTCAAGTACTACCAAGGGCAGAGCCCTAAAAGTCTGGGAAGGGACCCAACCTGTGCTCATGTAGAGTTAGACCAAAGGCTTTTCATCACTTTTCTCTACATTTCTAGTGGTAGAATTCAAATCCCGTCACTAGAAATCTGGAATGAGAAAATGACTAACTGTTCAGTGCTTGTGGGTATGCACTTGGGCATGTGCATAGGTATAAGTACATGTAGGTAAGGGTCTATAGGGGGTATGTGTGTATTTTTACTAAGCAAAAAGAAAAGTCTGCCCCCCACCCCCACAATAAGTGGCAGGCCCTTGGAACACAGCAGGTGTGTGACTATGGATGTCCCCCTGCCAAAAAAAAAAGTGGCCAGACTGCCCAGGTTCCCAGGGGCTCAAAAACAGCCACCCCAAGGGCCAGACCCATAGCCCTGTGGCTGGGTGACACTGATTAATAATGAACATTTGAGCCTGGCATGAAACCACAGCTAGTGTCCCTTCCCACAGAACTCCACTTCATTCCACACAGCTTGTCACCCAAACTCTGAGAAGTCCAGCAAAGGGTATGGGAACAGACCCAGGCCAGACCTGAAGGAGCAGGGCTGGGCAGTGAGAGGCCCTTATTCCTGAGGGTCATCGCCAGCAGGAAGGTCAACACAACATATAGGATGAGGAGATACCAACCCTCCCAGTAAAGGCAGCACTTTCCCTTCTGGGGGCGTAGCCAGCCCTGGGCTCCCCTCACCCTCCTTTCTCTCAAAATGGAGATGATAAAAATACACACAGAGGCTGAAGAAAACCGAAGAGAGATGCTGACGGGCACAGGAAGGGTAGCCTCTTTTATTATCCCAAAATGCAAAGTATTGAAGGCACTTACAATACCAAGGTGGGAGGGGAGGGCCAGGCATGGGGCAGGCAGCGATCCTAGCACAGACGTAAATCAACGGCCTGTCCTGGTCACAACCCGGCATGGAGAAAAGGAAAAGCTACAGGGCCAGGTCAGAAGCCAGTCAGGGCGCCTAGCTCTACAGAAGGTAGAAATCCATTCTACAGAGGATTGGGAAGTTAAGAGCACAGGGCAGCAGGGGGCGGGCTGGAGGTCACGAGTTAGTGGTTCTTTAAGGAACACGCTCGACGGTGAGGACAGCCCTCAGGTCCCCTGTTGGAAGAGGTCTCGGTACATCTCGATGAGACGGGCAGCCTCGCGCTGGCCGGAGAGCAGAGCACCATGGGTGGTGGAATAGTACTTGCGATGAGTGGCCTCGCCAGAGAACAGCACCTGCATGGGCTGGGTAGGGGAAGGGGAGGTGAGGGCAGAGGAGAAGCAGAGGCCACCAGGCTACCCATCTGCCGCAGTACCACCCATCCCTACTACAAATCAGAGAAGCTCGAGCAGGTATGAGAGGCAGGATTGCTGCTTTCACAGGACAAGAAGCTGCCCGTCCCACCTGGCCACCTTCCCCTGCATCTTCCCAAAACAGTCAGGCCTTGGTTCTTTCTGTTCTGAGGCTGTTAGGAGTCCTGGCTCCTTGTGCCCCTTACTAGTAAACTCAGGGCAAGTGGCCTAACTTCCCTAAGCCTTGATCTTCTCATCTGCCAAATGGATTTGCCATCTACTTCACATAAAAATTAAGTGATATCATGTATCTAAAGCACTTAGAACCTGGAAGAACATAAGCACTCAATAAAGTCAGGTGGTAATTTAACAAACCTTTATGGAGCCCCTGTTAGGGTCCAGGGACTGTTCTGGGCACTTGGAAGATAAAAGGTGACCAGGCTGCTGCTTTGTGGAGCTTCCATGCTGGTGGGGAAGCCAGACACGAAACCCAGTTACCAAACAGCATCATAGATGATGTGATGGATGTTTGAGTGAGTTGCTTAGAGCACAGAAAAGAGGCCCAGTGTCAGGGGGAATCCCATAAAGCTTCCCAGAGGACAGGCCCTCTGGATGGTTCTCGGAAGATACTGGGTAAACAGACAGGCAAAGGACATTTCAGACAGAGGGAAAAGTGGGGGTGAAAATGCACCAAGGCAGGCTTTGTTTGGGGGACAGTAGGAATTTTGGTACAGCCAAGGGTGAACCTTGAGAAAGCAGGCTGTCTAGGTGAGGTCTAGGCAAGATACAAGTTTTCACATCAAGTTTACATTTGGACTTTATCATAGTGCCTCTCAAACTGAATGTGCAAAGACATCAGCTGAAGATCCTGACAGACTGCAGAGTTCAGAGGTTTTTGTTTTGGCTTTTTTGTTTTTTGTTGGAGTCTCACTCTGTCATCCAGGCTGGAGGGCAGTGACATGCTCACCGCTACCGTAGCCTTGACTACTGGGCTCAGGCAATCCTTCCACCTCAGCCTTCCAAGTAGCTGGAACTACAGGCACATGCCACCATGCCCAGCAAATTTTATTTATTCTAGAGACGAGGTCTTGCCAAGTTATCCAGGCTGGTCTCAAACATCTGGACTCAGGTAAATCTCTTGTCTCCACCTCCCAAAGTGCTGGGATTACGTATGTGAGCTACCACGCCTGGCCAGAGGTCAGAGTGTTTAATCTATCAGGTCTGGGTGGGCTGAGAGTCTGCATTTCTAACCAGCTCCCTGGTGAAGCTGCTGCTGCCGGTCCACAGACCACTCACTCTGAGTAGGGAGGCAGTATCCCCACCAAGCAGCCTCCAGAGGTTAAACTGAAAAGAGGGATGTGGATTGGGCCAGAGTGCAAGCTGCCTGCTCCCATACCCACCCCATCTCTTTCTTCTCAGTAACTAAGCTCTGATTTTTCACCCAGTCCAGTGCCCTTCGGAATAAGAAAGATGTTGACCAGCTGCTCCAGAAGCTAGGGCTAGTCATGTGACTACATTCTAGCCAATGAGCTTCACGTGTGCTGTTGCTTAGCGACTCCTGACTCAATTCCAAGGTTCTTCTGCCCATTTGCCCTTCCTCCTTCTTCTAGCCTAAGATGCAGATGTGAGACCTGGAGCCTCTGCAGCCCTCCAGGACCACAGGTAGCCTTGAAGATGGGAGTCAGGTGCTAATGATACCAGGTCCTGTCACCTGCCTCCAGATCTCCCTTTGATTTTCCTTGTTTAAGCCACAGTTATTTTTGTTGGGCTTTGCTTCTTCTTACATGCACTCATCCTAACTTATACAAGGAAGATTTGCCTTTTACAGCGTGGCAGCAGTCAGGGCCCTTCTGAGGACCTCTCTCTCTCTTGAGACACCAGCCCTTTTCTCTCTCCCCCGAGCATAGCCGGGCAGGCACAGTGCACATTGGTTGACTGAAATCTTCTTTACCAATTAATTACACCAAAGAATTATCTTACACATAATTCCATTGGGGGTTTATTGTATATGTTTGCTTGGTGGAGAAACTCAAAATCCACTTTATAGAAGCAAAACTTATATTTCTCTCAGATTTACTATTTCCTATGTGTACGGTTGGCATAATTGGGGGGTAGGTCAGTATTCTCAATTTTATTTTCTAGAACACATATTTCCATGGAATCAGTGTTGTCCATTGGAACATTTTATGAATGTATAATTTTATGAAGCTGGAAATGTTCTATAGTCACACAATCTAATAAGGTAGCCACATCCACATGTGGCTATTAAACTTGAAATGTGACTGGTACAAAAGGAACTAAAATTTTAATTTACTATATTAATTTAAATTTTAATTAATTAAATTAATTTAAATTAAAAGTGGCTGATAGCCAGCACAGCATGGAATGGCTCAGCTTTCATAATCCCAAGAAAATATTTAAAATTTCGATTTTAAGTCTGGGCACAGTGGCTCACACTAGTAATCCCAGTGCTTTGGGAGGCCAAGGCCTGGGAGGATCACTTCCAGGGCCAGGAGTTCAAGACCAGCCTTGGCAACATAGCAAGACCTCATTGCCACACAAAAAAATAAAATAATTAGCTGGGCATGGTGGCATGCACTTGTAGTCCCAGCTACTGAGGAAGGAAGATCACTTGAGCCTAGGAGTTCAAGCCTGCAGTAAGTTGTGATCATGCCACTGTACTCCAGCCTGGATGGCAGAGTGAGACACCACCTTTAAAAAAAAAACTTTACAAAGTAAATAAATAAAGTTTCAATTTTAAAGGATAAGAGAGCGGATTTGATTTCATTTTTTTCTTCCAGATGTTAAGTGCACATGTTCTTATTTTCTCTTTCATTACAGGAGCCAGTCCAACCATGCCTCACCATAGCACCCTTAGTTACACTACCCTAGCCCTTCTCACTCTGGCCCAGACACCCACAAGACCCCCTCCCATGTTCCCTCACCCTGCACACCCCACACTCACTGCCATCTTGGAGCTCTCCGTGTATGGCAGGGGCTTGGCCAGCTTCTCCACATCTGCCCCACTCGAGCCCACCTGTGTGTATGAATAGGAGCCTCGGAAGTAGGGATTGCTGCCCCAGGCCGAGCGCAGGATTCGCCGAGGTTTTGGAATATTGGGGTTCCCTGTTGGGGAGTCAGAAAAGCCAAGGGGAGGGTGGATAAGAAATGGCTGCATACAGAAGATATCCCTGAACAGACCACCCCTATCCCGCCTCCAGGGCTCCAAGAAGACCAGGCTGCCAGGGACAGGCATGGAGGACAGAGGAAGAAGGAGGGAGGAAGGCTGGGGCTTGAGCTGTGTACCCATTCAACACCTCCTTGTGAGCCACAGCAAGACACCCTAGCTCTTGGGGTCTTAATTTTTCTGTCTTAAGACAGCATTACAGATAATGGTGTTTCCCCTTCTAATGTCAAGGGTTCTTGGGGGGCCCTGCTAAAATAGTGGGTGAAAAATGTCCAACTGAAATAATCAGAAAGCAAAACACTAACCCAACTCTTAGCAGCAGAGCGTAAGTAGGAAGTGGGCAGTCAGTGGTGACGTCTGAGTTTTTTACCATCAGCCCTCAGAAAGAGAGAAGAAACACAGCACCCATTGTTCTATTTCAAGCTCCAAACTGTCAGCAACCAAAAGCCTGAGGTTGCGTACAGTGCCCTGCAGTGACGCCCCTAGCGGACACAGCACCACAGCTTCACAATCTGGGGAGGGGAGCCGAGATGGGCCTGGCAGAGGATGGAGTGAGGAGGGGGAAGAGGCCAGGTGGGCACGTTAGGAACGGGACACACCTGTGAACTGACGCAGCATCTCCGTGCAGATCTCAGCCACAGCCTCATCATCACACTTCTCCATGACGAGGGCCTCCTCCCCGCAGATCCAGCCACTCAGCACGTGGCCGTAGCGCTCCGGCGGGTAGAGGACATCGAAGCCGCAGATCTTGCGGTACCAGAGCTCAGGTGGGTAGGTGAGGGTGCGGCTCTCTGCCTCATCCTCCCACACAAACTGTAGGCTGTTGCACTCAGGGCCCCAGAAGGGCTCCTCGAATTCAAGAAAGATCTTGTCAGTGGTGCCGATGCCCAGGCGGTGGATGGCGGCCACCTTCTCCGTGGGCAGGCTTGGCCGGAAGAAGGTGGTGTACTGCCTCTTGAGCACACCCAACGACACGGTCACAATCACGTGGTCCGCTGGGATCATCTCACAGTCCTCACACTCCACCACCACTGGCCACCGTTCGTCCTCATCCGACCTGCCCCCCCGGGGCTCCTCTCCACCCTGGCCACCCTCCCCGGTGTCCTGATTGTGGTCGCCCTCACCCCGGGGCTCAATCTCAGGGCCCCTGGGGCGGGCCGAGGCCTGATCCCAGTGAATGCAGCGGACAGGCTTCCCCATCTGGATGACATGGGTGGGGATGCCTTCAGCCAGCAGCTCCACAACTCTCATGAAGCCTGAGGGGATGACATGATGGGCGCCAGGGATCTCGGTCCACTCCCCAAAGGCGCTCAGGGACACCTCGTCCATGCTGTGTGAGCTGCTCTCACAGCTCTCCACCTGCGGGAAGACCCAGGGAGAAGCCAGGTGACCGTGGGACTGGGCAGGGGTAGGAGCAGGACCTCCAAGCAGCACAGCCCTACTTGGACCCAGATGCCCCCAGAATCAGTCTTCCTCACTCTGGCACCTGTACGCAACAGCAAAGATACCTTCAGGTACTGCTGGATCATGGCAAGCTTCAGGCGCTTGGTGGCCTCTGGGTCATCGGGGTCATCCCTGATGCGGTTGCGTACCTCCTCCCGGGTGAACACCCCCACGCTGTTCTTACTTTCAGCATTGACTGGTTTATCGTGCCGGAAGAACTCCTGGGTCAAGTTATAGACCTGCCAGAGAGACCCCAGGAGACTGAAAACAACTCATCACACCTCTAACTCAAATAGAAAGGCCCCAACTCAAAAGCCACCAGCTCCCCCCGCTGTCCCCTGGATGCACTGAGCCCTTGGTTGCCCCCATTGGGGAATCAATGCTGTGCCCAATGCGGTACTGAGGCTATATCAACAAAGCCGAAGCTCAAGGACATGAGCTGCTTGTACCCATAAGGGAGGTAGATGGGCCCTCTTGCTGGGCCCTTGCTTAGAACAAAATGAAACATTCGGTGCCTGTACAGCCAGTGGGAAAGAAAGCACCCCTCACTGGCTCTGCATGGGTCTTCTTGGGTGCTCCCTCTCATGAGAGCAGGCGCAACTGCACACATTTACCTTTTCCAAGAACCACGTGCACAGCCCTTTTCCTGCCAGCCCTGCCCAAGCGTGTCTGCTTTGCTCTCTCCCAAAAGGGCAATCTGGACCGTGACCAGGCCAGTATTTTAGGGGAGAGGGAGCAGAAAAGGCCCTGAAATCTGATCTCTTAGAGACGCCTCCCTGAGCCTACCCAGGTCCATATAGAATACCCTCTTCCCTTCAGGCCCCAGTCACGTTTAAGGCAATGGGTTGTGAAGGGAGGAACACAGAGGAATGATCTCACAGAGGCCCCAGCATGCCATGCCAAGGAATGGAAATACATTTCCAGGGCACATTTCAGCAAAAACACCAACCCACACCTCACTGACAGTCAGTCCCTTGCAACAGGGTCCAACAGCTTCCCCAGTCTGCCTGGTATACAGCCTCCATCACACCCAGTGCAGGTCTCCCTGAAGAAAATAAGTCAGCCTGGGGGCAGGCCTAGGATCCCCAGAGGCAAGGTCTGAGCCCCAACATTCACTCAAGAACTAGCAAGACCCAGGCTATAATGTGAGCAAGAGAGACAGTCCCTGGCCCTGACCTCACTCAAGCTAGGGAGACATTCCACGCCTGGGCTGCATCTACACTGCATGCTGTGAAAGGAAAGAGCCCAGGGGCCATGAGATCAACCCAGACAACCCTGGACAGTCAAGAGATAGCCAGGCTGGTAGTAGGAGGGGGAAGTTAAGAGTTTTAGGCAGAGGGACAAGGAACTCAAAGATGGGAGAAATACAGAGACGCAGTCAGGATTCTTGAAGTGCTTTAGTCTTGCTGGAAGGGGTGACAAGGAGGGAGAAAGTTGCAAGAGCCAACTTTGGAAAGGCAGACAGGGACCAGGACATAAAGGACTAAGAGTCAAGCCACAGACGCTGGACTTCAAACAGGGCCTGGCATCACTGACGGCAGTGATCAGGAAGGCGGCATGATCACACGCCCACTGCTGTCATTCCCAGGACACTGGCAAATGGAGGCTTCTTGGCCAGGTCTCTGTGGCTAAACTGATGAATGGCTTGTTTCCCTTCCTATAGTGAGTATGAATTCAAAATAATGCATGCCTGCCCCCAGCCTGGGGACAACAGGGTGAAGGACGGTGGCCCCACCCCCACCATTCCACTCAAGGGAAAGGTCTCCATGAGAAATAGAAATATGAATTAAACATGTCTCTGAAATCTAAATTACAAAGAAGAAAAATGAGTTAAATTGTTTTGTCTTTCCTCCCTGCAGTCATGAGATGCAGAGTGTTCAGAAGTCCTCAGCAAATTCCTCATCCAGGACCACTGCCAAGGGGTCAGGCTTTCAACTCGCCTCCTCCTCCCTGGGTTTTTCTCTTGAGTGATAAGCAACATGGTAGCCAGTCTTTAGCTGATGTTAACTAGAGGCCAAAAGGCCCAGCTGAGGAGTAACAGATTTGGTCCACTGGCCACCAACTAGGGCAGCCTTCACCGAACATGGGTTTGTTATGTGGGTACAGCATCCTTTCCCAGGTTAACTAACATCTTCCTGATGTGATCCAAGGAAAATGAGACCAGTATGTGACAGCAAATAATACTCACCCTAATTCTCATTAAGCACTTTTCACTGGGATATCATTCAACCATCACAATACTTTAAGTTGGTACGAGCATGTCCATTTTACAGATGAGGAAAGTTAAGACTCAAAGAGGCTCAATCACTTGCTGAAGATTACACAACCAATAAATGGTAGAAGTGGTATTCAAATCAAGGTAGTCTTACTCCAGAAACTAAGCTCTATATGATACTACTGCATGAACTCATTTATTTGTTAATAATAAATATAAGACATCCAAATAAGTGTTAATAAATGTAATGCATCCAAATAAGTGGATCTTCAAAGTCATCATCTTTGAGGGCTGCATATTTATTGCGAAGCCACCATCAGGCAGGACTTCACAGACTTAGAGCACACCTCTTCTAAACAGACTCCAGTATTAGTTAAGAGCGCACAAGAAAATCTTGACCTCATGGTTACACCCCATGCTTCTGATTCAAAGCATCACCATCTAGACTGACAACCCACTATTATTCACTACTTGCAATCTTGGCTTTCAAAAACCAAATCTACCAGCAGAATCTGATGGTCATGGGTCCTGAAAGCCATTCTCAAGAGGCATCCATGTTTGAAGCACTCACAATAACCTGGGAATCGGAGTGTAACTGATTCCCAGTAGACCAGGAAGATCTACTTTGAAGAATACTAGCTTTTATCTGACCACTAACAATTCAGTTTCTTTGTATGTGAGTAGAACAAATACCATGGGAATGCATACAACATACCCTGTTGGTACATACACAGAAGACACTGAGTGTGCCTGTCCTCCACAGAGCAGGGATCACCCCAAAGCAAGGGTCATTTCTTCTTTTTCATGCCCAAGAGATTAAAAAATGCACAACAGGTGCCTGCTAGCCTATTTACTGACCCGGAGTGAAGGACCAATACACCATAAATGTCAGACTATCAAAATTCAAGACTTACACATGAACTTGCTTGTTCAGTACAGTTCACAACACCACTAAAAGGTACTAAAAATATTAATAATTTTCCAAAACTTGAATAAGACAAGGATGTGTACCATTACCACTTCTGTCCAACACTGTACTAAGATACTATCTGGTACAATAAGGCAAGAAAAGGAAACATTCTATGGCTGTGCTATCCAATACACCAGCCACCAGACATCTGCAGCAATTCAAAATTAAATAAAGTTAAATATTTAGTTCTTCAGTTTCACTAGTCAAGAGTCACGTATGGCTAGTGACTACCATACTAGATAGTGCAGGTCTAAAACTTCTCCATCACTGTGTAAAGTTCCATCAGACAACATTGGTCTAAGGATTAGAAAAGAAAAAAATATATATCATTTTTTGTGTAGGATTTTACATACATACACACACACACACACACACACACACACACACACTACACTATATATATATATATATATATTATATATATATTTATATATTTATTTAGTATATATATATTTAGTATAATAGATCTATTGTTAGAATAATATATATATATTTAGTATAATAGATCTATTGCTAGAATTAAAATAATTCTAGGAAGATAAAAGTCAGTTAATTTCTATATACTAAGAACAATTAGAAAATAAAGCTTTTGGCCAGGCTCGGTGGCTCAGCCTGTAATTCCAGCACTTCAGAAGACCGAGGTGAGTGAATTGCCTGAGCCCACTGGTTCGAGACAAGCCTGGGCAACTTGGAGAGACCGCATCTCTACAATAAAACAAAAATTAACCGGGCATGGTAGCGCACGCCTATAGTTCTAGCTACTTGGAAGGCTGAGGTGGAAGGATCACCGAAGCCTAGCAAGTCAACACAGGGGTGGCCATGAGTGTGCCACTGTACTCAGCCTGGGTGACAGAGTGAGACTCCAACTCAAAAAAAAAGAAAAGAAGGCTTTTTTTAATTTACCACTTATAAAAGTATCCAAAACAACAACAATGACAACAATCACTACCATCCAAGTACCTAGTAATAAATATAAAAAAGGTTTAAGGCTTTTTTGAAAAGTATTTAATAACACTTATCTATAATCTCTCACCTAGTACTTTCCCAATCATTATCTTCATTTCATCCTCATGTTGTCCTGTTCCAAATTCAGGGCCCAGGGAACTCAAAGGCACAACCCAGGTCACAGAAGACTCCCAGGTCTCCCGACTCCCCCATGCCCTCATGCCCAGCTGCCCTGCTCATGCCTCACCTCGTTGTATAAATCGCTGAATTCCTCAACCACGTCCTTGGGGATCCTGCAGCCGTGGTTGGTAAGATAGCAGGCCACGCCATTCTTGGAATAGAGGCTGATGCGGCCCACACTGCGTTCCCCATCGGTTGTCTCTTCCAGAAGGCCATTGGCTTCTGCTAGATGATAAATAGGATTTCCATGGGAGCCATGGATCCAGGTGGCTCCCAGCTCAAAGGTGGCGTGTCCTGAGGGTAAGAACAACAGGCCCTTAGAGGGGCAAGCACTTGTCCAGAGAGGGCTGACCTTCCTTTCCTTCCTCAAAGATCCTTTCACCCCAACAACATAGCAGCAAGGGACTTAGAGTACCTCTCTGGCAACCAACCAAAGTCTTCAGTGAAAAATCTCCAGGGAAAATCAATTTATCACTGAGATAACGCCCCTCTGAATGACTCTGTGACTTGTCCCAGTGTCACCTCTGGATCGTTAGAAGGCTCTCCTTTTCTAGTCTCACCCTTTTCCTCATTGGTGCCTCCCCACTCAGAAGAAATACTGTGAGCACCTGAGGGTCCCAGTGAAACAGCAAGATCCCCATCTGGCCTTAGAATAATTCTTCAAGATCCCCAGCGGCCCCAGAATCTAAAGACTTCTCCCAAACAGAAAACAGTCCCCTCCCAACTCAGCATAGGACAGGGGAAAAGGCCAAATATTCCAATTTGGAATATCCCTCCCCAAAGCAATCTAAAGCAGACTTCCAGGGAAAACTAAGCTCTCTAACCTTTTGGCACAGGTGGCGGAATGCTGAGAGTCTGACTGGGGCAGGAGGCAATTCCTGGGTCCAAGCTGGAATAAGCCAAGATACCAGATGCTGTGAGGCAAGTTGCCTCTGTGTCTGGGACTGTGATATACCTGTCTCCTTCCCTGCCTAGCTCCCAGGGAAGTTGAAACAATGAAAGGAGAGTAGATAGGAACATTGTTTCATGTTTTGTTTTGGTTTTGCAGGCCTGATTCAAGATATGTGTTGTAAACTTTTTGCCAAGATAGTCGCAATCATTCCTCCTATCCTTGTACACACGCCCCTTTGCAACATGACTTTGCCATTTCTCTCAGCAGGACACAGAGTATGTTTCCCCACCCTTTGGGCATGGGCTGGACTTGTGATTTTCTTGGATTAACGAAGGCAGTAACAGTGATGTTATGTGTGTGGCTTCAGATCCTAGGCCTTCAGGGCCTCGTGGCTTCCATTCTCACTCTCCTAGAATGTGACAGCCATGGAAAGAAACCCAGGCTTATCCTGCTAGAGGCACGTGGTCCAGTCAAAAGCCTGTGTCCAAAAGACACTGGGTAAGGTCATTTTAGACGAACCAGCCCCAGTCAAGCCACCAGATGACTACACCCCTATGGGGAAGCTTAGACAAGGCCAGCAAAAGAACCACCTAACCGAATCCTGCCCAAATTTCTGACCCATGGAATTTTAGCAAATAAAATGGTATGGTTTTAAGCCATTCCTTTTTGGCGTGGCTTGTTATGCAGCAATAGCTAGCAGACACAAAATAACAAACAGCAATATTACTCTTCACCCCAGAAACTGGGCATTCCTCGTTCCTTTCTTAGGCTACTTCTGATTAAATTGTCAGTTACTAAATATAACTCTGTATTTATGTATATGCCAAAAGCAAGAGAAAACGTAATCAACCACATGCCTCAGCCAGCAAGATAGAATTTCCTGGTATCTCTGGGAGAGGCAGGAATGTATAGGCCCTTTGTCTAGGAAAAGTGGGAAAACTGGAGGGCACCAAAAACCTGAAAAGTCAGTATCCTGCCTGCAGTGGGTTCCTGGTAGGCATTGAGGGCACTTAATTAACCCTTCTTGAAAGCCTCAGGTTTGGGGCTCCCTGAACTATCTTGCCAAGTTTGAGCTCCCAATAGGAGCAGAAGGGGACCAGCACCCAGGGAAAAGACCTGAACCCTTCCCACAGGGCTCTGTGCTCCCACTTGGAGCATAGAAGAAAGCTCCAAGTTACACAGTCACTGGGCAGCATGGACATGGGGAACCTTTCCAGATAGCAAAAGCAGCAACGAGATGAGCCATTCAAGATCAGGAGCAACGTCAGTGCCTACCTCTACCCCCAGGCACTGCAAAGAGGGAGGAGGTCCAGAGCAAGGCCCATTGGAGGATGCTTTCTGCCCTCTCCACATGCCCTGCCATCTGTCATTTTTGCCACACTCTTGCATCCAAAGAGCACCAGGTGCCCATCTCTATGTCTACCCCATAGTATCCTTAGAGCCTCTGACCTTGACCCCTTGACTCTCACCACTGACAAAATCACAGCTACCATTTCCCAGTGCAGCAGGTCCAAATGCAGCTGGGTTTCCGGCCCTGCGTGTCTGCACACATGATACATGCACGTGACCCTTGTCTTGACATATTCTCCCCTCTCCTGGCAGGGTGCTGCCTCAATCTCCCCCATATACATCATCCCATACATATTTCCCCTTCCTCCTCCTCACTATCTACCCAACTCCCACCATCACTGAGGCCCACCCAAGCTCCCTCTCCCCAGGAAGACTTCTCCCAGGAAGCCTTCCCACCAATTGATCAATTAATCCATTCATTGATTGACTGTACATCCTCTCAGCCTTCTGCAATGCCATCTCTTCCACCTCACTGCCTTGTACCATCATCCCCCTGCATGGCACATCTCACCTGTCAGCTACCTCTAAGACTGGGCCATTTGTCTTCCCATCTTCTGTTTCTATGTCAGACCCTACATGTCTCATCAATATTGGAGAATCATAGGCCGGGGGTGGGGGGGTGGCTCATGCCTGTGATCCCAGCACTTTGAAAGGCCGAGGTAGGATTGCTTAAGCCCAGGAGTTCAAGACCAGCATGGGCAACATAGCAAGACCTCATCTCTACAAAAGAAAAATCAAAAAAGAAAGCTGGGAATGGTGGCACATGCCTGTAGTCCCAGCTACTCATTAGGCTAAGGTGGAAGGATTGCCTGAGCCCAGGAGGTTGAGGCTGAGGTGAGCTGCTGTACTCCAGCCTGGGCAACAGAGTAAGATGCCGACCCCCTCACCCACCCAAAAAAAATTAGAGAATCCTAAATGGAGCCTCCCTTCTCTAAGCCAGCCAACCGGTGCTCAGCACAGAGTCCTGGGCTTCCTTGCTGGCTGTCCCAGATTTCCAATTGCCCTGGATGGCAGTTTCACCCTCACTGCCAGGAGACATTTCTGTGTCTGCCAGGGGAAGAGGGACACTTCACGTACGCCTTCTAGGCAATGCTATAGGGGAAGATGCTTAACATGATAAAAGTTTCTGCAAGAAGAGAAAAGATCCCCATGTATCCCCAACCTCTGCTCATTCTAAGCCTGACCACCTACTTCTCTGAGCAAGTGGGCACAGCCCTGCTGGCCTCACTGCCTGGCGTGGGAACAGACACAGATCCTCTAGAGGGTCGGTGTAGCCCACACACTCCAGGTCTCACTGGGTCATTTTTACAATCCTACCCTCTCAACCCCTCGTTGGTCAGACCCCACTGGGTGAAAAGCCCTGACCTCCAGTTGCAATTCAGCAACTTTCCCTCTCTAGAACTCTTGGTACAAGTCAGCAACTTTCCCTCTCTAGAACTCTTGGTACAAGTCTCTTTCCTGGCTGCTTTCTCCAGAGACCCTATTACTCTGCAACCTGGACAGATCCACTTCCTACACAATCCCAAGACCTGCCATCACCCACAAGGAGGCCCCAAATCCTCTTCTACCCTTTTTTTTTTTTTTGAGTTGGAGTCTCACTCTGTCACCCAGACTGGAGTGCAGTGGCCGCTCCCAGCCACTGCAGCCTCGGCCTGCTGGACTCCAGTGATCCTTCTGCCTCAGCCTTCCAAGGAGCTGGAACTATAGGCGCGTGCTACCACACCCAGCTCATTTTTGATTTACTGTAGAGATGAGGTCTCACCAAGTTGCCCAGGAGGGTCTCGAACCCACAGGCTCAGGCAATCCACTCACTTCAGCCTCCCAAAGGCGCAGGATTACAGGCTGAGCCATTCTAACCTGAGTTTGCCCTAGGGCTAGCTCTCAGTGTGATACACTCATTCACACTCAAAAGTTAATGACTAATTGGAATTTGCAAAATTCTACTTCCTGTGAAATAGAAACTGGTCCACCCAGTGCCAAGAAGGGTTGGGTGTCCCCTCCTTCCTAAACACTGTGAACCCTAGGTCAGTATCAAGCCAGCACTCTCCAAAAATGAAGGTCAGAGTCCTACCATGCCTACCTTAGAGGGCTACCTGTGCAGGGCAAAGCCTCTGGAAAATGCCCAGGCAGGATGCATGGTGGAACATTTATCCCAGAGAAGGAGCCAAAATAATGAGATTTCAGAAGGGCTGGGGATTAGGGGACAAAAGGTGACCTTGGGAGGTGGCTGGGCTGGGGTGACACTTACCAAGTTTCACGCTCTGCACACGGCCTCCGATGCGGCTAGAAGCCTCGAGCACAGTGACATCCGTGAAGCCCTGCTCTAGAAGCGCTTTGGCCGCAGCCAGGCCAGCCAAGCCAGCACCGATTACCACCACACGAGGTTGTCCCCTTCTCCGTAGGCCACAACTGAGAGGGTCATCCGCACTGTCGCCACTGGATTCACAACTTTGCATACCGTCCGCACTCACCTCCTAGGAACCTGTGCGGGGGGAAGGGGGGAGGCAGTGTCACAGCTCACCTGCTCTGCCTTTACTCTCACTTGCCCAAAGGAACCTTTAGGACTCCCATCACACTCTGCCCTCTAGGGAAGACCTTAAGTCCTCCTCCCTTCTTGAGGACCTGAACAAGAAGAGCCACCTCCAAAGAATGCAGGGAGGGACGGAGGAAGAGATAAGGAAAGATGGGAGGAAGGAAGGAAAGAAAAACAAAAAAGAAGGAAGGTAGGGGAGAGAGAACGTGAGGGAGGGATGCATTTGGGGCCTCCACCAGCAGACAGAACTGGGAGTCCATCCTAAGTCCCTGAAATCCTCAATCCCACTCTCAAACCTGTTAGGTACTGCCTCTTCCCTGACCACAGGCCCCAAAGTGGAGGCAAGAAGTAGCCAGTGAGGAGATAACCAAGAAGGCCAAAGTCAGGAGAGACTAACCCTGGGGCTGCTGACCCTGGACCAGCTCAACCCAGCATGGCTGCTGTGGTCCAGCTTGTGCCAACCCCAGGATACTCACACAGACCCCAGGACACTCACAGACCTCAAGATGCTCACACAGACCCCGGGTGCTCACAGACCCCAGGATGCCACACAGACCCCAGAATATTCACACAGACCCCGGGATGCTCACAGATCCCACGAGGTTCACAAACCCCACGATACTCGCACAACCCCAGGACGCTTGCAGACCCCAAGATGCTCACACAGACCCCAGGATGCTCACAGATCCCAGGATGCTCACACAGACCCCAGGATGCTCACAGACCCCAGGATACTAACACCAACCCCAAGATACTCACACAGACCCCAGGATACTTGCAGGAATCCCAGAAGGCTCACACTAACCCCAGGATACTTGCACATACAACCCCAGACCTCTGCTCTCCTTCCCTTGCCTGGCTCTTCCCTGACACTCTCTCCCTCTTCTTTGTCCTTCTCTTCTCCTCTGGCTTTCTGTTGGTCTTTCACAGACTCAATGAAGTGGCAATTTGGTGGGTAGGACATAGCCCTGCCCTCCCCTCAAAAGTGCCACGAGGCCAGCATCCAACAAGCCTGCTATTCCGGGTAAGTTGTTTTCCCCAGTCACCCAGCTCCTCAACCACCACAAAGCAGTAAGGAACCCAGGAAACAGTGGACCATGAGGATCTGTGGCACCAGAGGCCAGACATCAAATTGACAGTTACACTAAGCCAGCTTGCTCAGAGACGCCAGACTAGGGGGGCTGATGGCTGGGAGGCGATGGGGGTCCCTGAATCTGGCCCCAGGGCTAGGAGAGGCTGCCCTTCTCTTCCCAGAATGACCAGGAGGGTGTGGAGGCATCTGGGGGCCATCCTGGGAGGTCACTCATCTCTGATCCTATCCCTGTTCCTTCCCCGCTGCATGTAACTTAGATTCTACTTGCCTTTGCTGAGGTTTGAGTGCACAAGCTGCAGAATCTAATAGTCACCAGGATCTAACAGAGGACAAATATGAGTGGAGAGCTGCTAAGCAGCAGGCAAGAGGCATATAAAAAACTCACCCATACCTAATAAAACTGTGACAACCGTCCCATGACACAGCAAGCCCACACCTAAGAATATACGCAAGAGAAAGAGGGCATCCTTCAACAGATATGTTAAAGAATGTACAAAAAAGTTTTGTTCATAATAGCCAAACACCAGAAACACCTCAAAGGTCCATCAACAGGAGATAAATACATTGTGCCCTATGCAGCACACTCATACAGTGGATATTCTTCAGCAGTAAACCAAAATCCAATGATTTTTTAATTGATTTTTTTTTCCAGTTAGAGTATCACTTTGTCACCCGAGCTGGAAGGCAGTAGCACAACCACAGATCACTGCAGTCTCCACTTCCTGAGCTTAGACGATCCTTCTGCCTCAGCCTCTTGAGTAGCTGGAACTACAGGCATGCACCACCACACCCAGCTAATTTTTTATTTTTGTAGAGACGAGAACTCACTAAGTTGCCCAGGCTGATCTCAAACTCCTGGACTCAAGCAGTCCTTCCACCTCGGCCTCCCAAAGTGCTGGGATTACAAGCATGAATTACTGTGCCCAGTCAGAACCCACGTATTGATACTCTCAACAACATAGATGCACCTCAAAGGTTTCATTACACTGAGCACAAGAAGCCAGAGACAAAAGAGCACATACTGTACGACTCCGTTTCCATGAAGCTCAGGAAGAGGTAGACAAAATCTGTGAAGACAGAGGTCAGAAGAGAGGTTATGAGAGTAGAGAAATGACTGAAAATGGACAGCAGGCACCTTTCTGGGGTGGAGGGAATATATATCTTGATCTGAGCAGTGGTGACACAGTGTACATATAAAGACACATCATTTAAGATGTGTGCAATAACAAGATATTCATTCCAGCCTTCCAATCAGTCATCCAGTCAAAGGCTGGCATACTGGCTTCCTGCTCAGCACTTTTCAAGGTCTGACCCCTGGGGCTTCCACCCCACTTGGAACATCAAGTCTTCGCAGGCTAGCAAAGGGGGCTTTAAAAAAAAAATTATATATATATATGTTCAGGCTGAGAAGCCACTCCTTGTGCCTCCCCCCGATCCATTCCGCCTGACCACGTGGAATGCCTGAGCCTCGACAAGAATGAACTCCTCAACACTCCACTGGGCCCTAACGACCTCTAAATCCCCTGAGACCCCGGCCTGCCCAACTCGGGGCAGAGCCGGTTCCCCACGAAGCCAGAAGGGGGCGCCCGAGGCCCGGAGCCCCTCCCCGACCGCAGTCTCCAGGTTCAGAGGCAGGGGCTTGCTTTCCTCCTTCCAGGAATGCCTGTGTCCCCTGCTCTCCCAGGAGTCGAGGCCGTGTCGGGAGGCCGGCGGGCTCCGGCCCTTCCCTCCTCCCTCCCCCTCCGTCCTGACTTCGCTCCTCCGCTCCCTCTCCCCAGAGGTGTCAGGTCCTGCCTCCTCCCGGGAGGACAGGGATCAAGGCTGGCTCCTCTCCGACTCCCCACGCCTCCCTCCCCCGGGTTCTCCTTCCTGCCGACTCAATTTAGAGGTGTGGCTGTGGCCGCCCCAGGGGGCGGGCGGGGAGGAAGGGTTAGCGATGCCGCCGGATGTCTGCCAGCCAAGCCGGGACGCTGCGTCAGGTCTGTAAACACATGGCGTGCTCCAGAGGGCACGCGCCAGCCGCGAGGGTGACGCCACCACCGCCGGGCACCCCTTGACTGACGTGGCGCCTCTGCCCGCCCCACCTCCACATCCCAGCTCCCCAGGCCTGGGGGCCCCTGCCCCAGGTCACTCAAGCAACCTCTTTTATGCACGAAGGGACGGGATGGATGTAGTGGTTCCCACACCTTACTGATGGAGCCCCTTCTTGAAAAGCTACCACGAGATCCAGAGAGATCCAGGGTGTAACAAGCATTAGACTGGGGCCCTGCTCATCATAGGACCCTCCCCTAAGCTCCCCAGGGCCCCTCTCTGAAAACCAGAGGTCCGGATGAGCTCCTGTCTTGGGAAGCCAGATAGGAGAAAAGTGTTTGCTACCAGCAGGGCCCTCACAGCCAGCTACCTGCCTTCCTCGCTTCCAGAGCCTTGTTTCATCAACTTGTCCTCATGACACTGCTGTGACAGTCAAATAAGGCCCTACGTGAATGTCACAAGATTGTCAGCATTTTCTAGGGCCTCATGCACAAAAATAACTTAAGTGCTGCAGCCACATTATGAGCAGACTGTCTTAGGAACGGGCTGTAGAAGAGACAGTGAGAAGAGGCACACTGCCTTTAAGATGAGCACACAAAGGACCCCCAGTTCCCCACACCAGCTCTCAGAGACCTTGAACTCAAACATCACACATGGGGTGCCAGGTGGAAGCCATGCAAGTAAGCAGGGACCAGATGAGTTCCCAGCGCAAGTGACCCTCACAGCTAATCCCACAGACTTGTCCCTCCTCAGGCCTCATCCCAGATGAGCCCATCACCCCTGGTGCCCCTAAAAAGCCAGAGGAGCCCCTCACACAGTCCACGGAAGGCAGAGAAATGAGCCAGCACACCCTGGGGTCCAAGTGAACAGGAGAGATGACATATCCAGGACACCTACTGTGTGCTAAATACTCAACTAGATCTTTGGGCATTCTGTTATCTTGGGGGTAGGGGATGGAGAGGGTAGGGAGGCAACTTGTTTTCTGTTGGTTTGTGTCGTCTTTTCCTATCCCGTTTGGATTTTTTTTTATGAGAAAATGCCTTATTGAGGAAGAAGAATCACTTAAATGGTCCTTGGTGCCTGCCTGTCCTTCTCTCGCCTTGGGGAAAGAAAGAAATAACATCCGCTCCTTGATCTGTATGCACAGGAGAAACAGAACACCCTGTACTTTTCAAGCAGATAAAGGAGAGAAGAAAAAAGTGCTGGCTCAGCCAGGCAGGGAAGAGGAGGAGGGCAGGGAGGAGGGCAGGCAACAGACACTTGCCTTCTTGCTCCGGCTTCCATGGCAAAATGGGGGTGAGCCCCAGGCCTCTTGCCCAGAGCCTTTCCCCGGGCCCCATGTCCCCAAGCAGGCCAAGCCTGGGAACTTTAAGAAACCTGGCCAGCCAGGGCAGGAGTGCCACTCATTCCAGATGCCCCACCGCCTCCCCCAGCCACTTCTCTGGCCCGCAGCCCACCACCTCCCCTTGCTGCCCAAAGCTAATACCACCCTGACTGAAGCTGCCCAAGAAGCCACACCAGACAGAGGAAAGCAACAGAAAATGGAGAGAGGAAAAGAGGGAAGAAAAACTCTGTCCCACGGCATGGTCACCAGAGACAGATGGATACAGACTCAGAGGCTGGGTGACCAGAGCAGGCACAAGCAGCCAAGTTTTGTGTTCATGCCACTTCCTCACTACCACCCCCACATTCTCATCAATCCCAATTTGTTACCCTTAGAAATGTACCCTCCTATTCACCCTCAGAAAGTGTCTCCTATCGACTAACAACTAGAGATGTGTTTTAGTCCTGGTCTCCAAAATCTGGCCCTGCCAAGCCCCTCCTG